TGTCACGTCCTATACCTTTAGCCAACCACTACAATTGTTCTACTGCTCATCACTTTTTATTTAAAGGCATTTTAAATGTAATATGATATTTTTCCACAAATACAATACTTTTGAAAATTGTGTGCACGATTTTCAAGTGTTCCACCAAAGAATTTCCTTGGCGTTTGTGGAAATATGGCTCGATTTTACCCTATATGTATTTGCAATTCAAGCAAGTAGGGTTGGTTAAAATACTATTTTTAGCCCAATATGTTGAGCGTTAAGCCAGTTTTAAGGACAGCTGGTAGAAAATTCGAATTAACAAATGTACTGCAATGTTTGTGGGTATATACATATATACATATATACAAGTATATATATATATCAACATACATACATACATACCAACATAAATGTGTACAAATATAGATGCATATATGTAATTATGTAGACACAAAACTGGCTGTGCCATATTGTGGCAGCTTCGTTTAGAAAATCATAAAAACAATTAAAATACGAACTGGAACCCAAGACTTTAGCGTGAGAATATATTGCACTTGTTGATAGTTAAGACAGACGAAGGTTTAGCGGTTATTCTAGATTTGATAAATAAAAAAATAATGCAGAAAATGTCCTATTTGTGAGAGTTGTGAAAGCTAATATTCGTTACCGCAAAACAAATTTGTACATTCATACGTACATTTGAATGTGAAGGGGTTGTACTTATTTGTAAACACATTGAACATTGCAATACTTACAGTGTTGCCACTTTGGAAATTATTACCAAAATTGGTAGAAAAAATTTGGGTTGGTAAAATGGTAAATTTTTTCTCATTTTGGTAGATTTTTGTTAAAGTAATTTGTTTGAAAAACAAATAAAAGTTTAGTTCTCGTTTTATTTGTCTTAAAGCATAAACAGACGGCAGCGTTGATCCGGATCAACTGGGGAAATAACTGCAGTTGATCCGGATTAAGTCCGAGTTAATCCAGATCAACGCTGCCGACTGTTTAAGCTTTAAGTTAGCTTTATGTATTTTATAATTATTTTCCAAAAGTGTTGTCTACGTTATTTCATTAATTTTCAAACGGTATAATGCGCACTTTTTATATACATACAACTTCTTCTTCTTATTTGGCGCTGTAACCGCCTCAGTGATTTTGACCGAGTTCAACAAAGAACGCCAGTCGTTTCTTTTCTGCCAAGTGAAGCCAAGTCCCTCTCCACCTGGTTTTTCCATCGCTGTGGGGGCCTCCCTCTTCCTCTGCTACCACCAACCCCGAGTTCAATACTTTCAGAGCTGAAGCGTCGGTGTCCATTCGAACGACATGGCCAAGCCAGCGGAGCCGCTGTATTTTAGCATACATACATATCGATAAAAGGTGAACAAATCGTGCTCCATTCAAAACTCATTTTACTGGAATTTATTAAATAGAAAGAAAAAATGGACAGGACACACCATGATTGTTAAAAAAAAAAATTTAAAATAAACGCCAGTTTTTATAAATGGCAATTACTAAATGAAAAAAAAAAACACAAAAGACCGGCGACGATAAAACTGCATACCCAAAATTGTTGTCAAAATTCAGAGTAAAAAGTTCGAAATTTAGACGATTTTTTTTAATTTTTATAAATGTTGGATATAGCTTGAATCCCTGATTTGTATAGGTTTGGTTAATAATACAATATTCTTAAACGAAAAAAGGAAAAAAAAAATACTTGAGGAACATTGTAAATATTAGAAAAATACCAAGCGGCTGTTTGAGTCAATGTATTTGTCTATAATAACTCCAGTTGAAGTTTTTTCAAACGATGATGCTTCGTTGTTGCCTTAAGTTTCATCACGTTCGATTTCGGTTGAAAAAAAAAACCGAGAAGATGCCATTAATATGATCTCAAATACCATATCATTAGTTAAATACAAAGTTCAAATAATTTTAATTTTTATAGAAATAACTAAAAAAATGGAACAAAACTATAACTTTTGTTAAAATAATTATAAAATTTATTGGTAGATATTTTCCAGATTTGGTAGATTTTTTTCAATTGGATGGTAAATAATTATTTTCGGAAGTGGCAACCCTGAATACTTATCTAAAGGAGAAGTTCACTTCATGGTTTGTAGACGCATACCTATGTTTGTAAATGTACATTGTAGTTAAAATTTGTATATGCATTTATAAGCTAAACTTCATACGAATTGTAATTTACGTACTAGTTTTCATACATATGTACTGTTATAACACACACATTTTCTGTCAAAATTTTTTTCAATCCATTTTTTATACATTTCGTGAACATGAAACGGTATTATAAGTTTGGTCCGATGTTTTCATGTATCAGGAGAAGAATATATAGACCATGAAAATGTACACTTATATGATCAGAACGTCGAGCTGATGCCCGCCTGTCTTTCTGTTTGACCGCAATGTAATACCTAAGTATTCGTGATAATAATAATACTAGATTGGCGCTTACACGTATGGTAGTATTTGGCCGAGCTTCTCCTGGGATTTGTGGCGTGCGCCTTGATGTTTTCACACAAAGGGGAGGGACCTATGTATAGTTTTACGCCGACTCCGAACGGCGATTGTATTTTTATGATAAGCAATTTTTAATGGCAGTATTTGAGATATCCGCCTAAAATTTGGTGACCGAGTGTATTTTTTTTATTGTATAACATATAGCTTACAACTTATTGGTCAGGTATAAGATTTTTTGCTATAACTCCTCCATTTATGCAGCTAGGACTATGAAATTTCGGACTGTCTTAAATCATTATCAACTGAAAGCTTACAGTGAAAATGACAAAGATCGGCTCACTATAACTTATAGCTTCCATACAACTGATTGTTCAGAGAGATATGGAGTTTTACTTTAAAACTACTTCACTTGGACTTTTAGCCGAGCTATTTTCTAAATATGTAATCATACAAAGTCCACCCAAAAATCGTCAAGATCGTTGCTTTATAAGTTATATATCCTATACCACTGATTGTGCCGATATGAGGTTTTTATATTACTCCTCTATCTATGTATATACATATGTATGTATGCAGTAAATATCCACATTTTGTATGGCTCCCAAACGACTAATTTCAAATGCATGGTCGGCGGTTGAATTAAAATTTTCTGGTTTCCATGAAAGGTATTTTTGTTTCAGCTAAAGTCAAAACAATGACCAAATGACTCATTGAACTGTTTTCATGTTCCCTTTAACAGGTTATTTCCCGTACGCAATGCGGGATCCCGCGGGTGCCCGAAATAGCCCAGAAATCATTCCCGTACTCAGCAAAATGAGTAATAGAGAGCGAAAATTGGAACGTATTGAATCGTAAGTGCCTTCTTCTTCCTGCCCGAAACAGCCCGAACTTTTTCTCCGGGTAAAAATGGATAGTGTCAAAGTGCATATCAGCTGTTTTGTGTTTATATGTTGCCTACTTGGGGCTTTTATGGAATAGTGAATGCATTTTCAATCTTTATATACTTAAAACTAAATTTGTAAAACAAAAAAAATTCAATTTCCAAGAGTTTGCATTTAAGTCACAAAAACAAAAAGAACGCGAATCAGCTGTTTCTCAAATGCTGGACACGAAATGTGGTTTTTTGCGTTCCGGTACTTCTGGATTACTGAACTTATTCTTCTTTGCTTTTTTCTAAATAAAAGCATTTGCAAAGCATGAACACTATGTACAGATGATGTAAAACTTTATAAATCGTACGTTTCAATTAAAGAAAAGTTTTTGATACAATCAGACTTAAACAGCATAGCTTACTGGTATAAAGTAAATATTATGCCTCTAAATCTTAAAAAATTTTAAGTAATTTACTTCTCGCGAAGAGCTGTTCAGCCGGTTTCTTATACAATAGGTAACCATAATCTAAAATAGGTATACAGTTTTGTGGACCCTGGTATCACAATGGATACTAAGCTGAATATCACCCATTCGGTGGTTTGGAATCCAGGGAATCAAATTTACTCAGACAAGATAGAATCAATTTAAAAACAATTCCTACTTTTTGCTCTAAGAAATTTCCGTTGGAATTCTCAATATAACCTTCCGCCTTATACGAGCCGATTAAAACTTATTAATCTTCCTACACTTGTCAGTCGCAGGGAAATGCTTGGTACAATTTTTATGGTTAAATTACTGACAGGCTCAATTTCAAGTCCGCTTATTCTGGGTAAAGTAAGCATTAATGTTCTCTCTCGTGTATCAAGACACTTTTGTCCCCTATTTTTGAAAGCTTGTAAAACTAATTTTGAATTACACGAGCCACTCCGTTGCTTATGTCAGGAGTTTAACTCTCATTCTCATTCCAGCACATTTGATATCTCTGATTCGCTTTTCATCATTAAGAAAGCGATACTATCCCCTCTCCATAAATGATTTACTAGCATAAAGACAAAATCAGCAGATGAATTTAGTTGCGTAGCTGAACAGTTTTAGATCTCGACACCTAACAAACTCCTGCCTTTCGTGACTCGGCGCAAAAATTGAAAAAAATTCGTGCCCTAAGGTTTTTTATTTTTTGTAGTATAGACCTTTTACTCTGGTTCCTTAAGGAATGTAGGCAATTAATAAAATTCCCTCGCTGTCTCGAAAAATCGTAGTCATATCCTTTGACTCCAATATTTCCACTGTTAACTTCTTTGGTGACTTTTCTGTCGTGGAACAAAACTTTGTATGGAAATAGATGAACAACACCGTTAGCTACTTCACACTTGCACTTTGTTATACTAAAATTGAATGGGCTACAAAACTGCTTTCGCAAAATCTGTTTCAGAGATATATTGAACAAGCTTAACATTTTTACCAAAATTTGTTGAATTTTTTTTGTTAATGTTGTACAAATTTGATTTAGGTATACGGTTTTTGTTAATGAATAAGATATACTTTTATTTTAATACATCTGAATATTTTTACATAATTATATTTCTCTTTGACAATGGTATCTAATACAATTTTTTTCTCTTTTCTTTCCTTACCCTCTCCATTCAATTTTCATTTCCTCTTTGCAGAGGTGGTTCACACGCAGTAGAACATGCAACCATTGGTCTTAATTTGAGCGCATTCTCCCAACACTTGAATAACAACAATAACAACAGTAAGTCTACACTTAAACTAAGCGCCTTGCATTCATCTTTCAATGAAAGCGCACTAAATCTGTCAAAATGTACATCCGGCCTGAATATGAGCCACGAAGACTACTATTACTATGTGAAGCCGGAATTGGACATGTCAGCGGCGCATGCGGCTAGCAATGGCCTTGGTGGCGGTGGTGGCAGTGTCAGTGCTGTCGGTCCGCCCCATCCATTGCCCGCTCATCAGCCACAACAGCAAAACCAACAACTACACAGTGCTGCGCATGACAGCCGCGTCTCATCAACGCGCAACGACAGCACTACTCAGCACAGCAACACATTTGACGATCTCGACGCATCATCGGTACGCAGTGGTGACGAGACCTCAATGCGTAATGCAGACATGAGTAATCAGGGATCTGATGAGGTGGAGGAGCTGGAAGCAATAGATGCTGATTTTCCTTATCCGCTTATACTCGACGCGAATTCGCCGCGTTCTATGAGCGCAGCAGGCGGCAATGTGGGTAATGCTGCAGGTGGTAGTGCTGGTGGCGTAGCTGGCAGCTCCATGAAACGAAAACGACGTGACATGAACGGTGATGCAATGGACGGCACTGTCGACGATGAGGATGACTACGAAGGACAAATGTTGCAGCAGCATCGCCATTTGCGCCAGCAAAATGGTGGCTCTGGCGGTGGGGGTGGCTTAAGTAGCATGGGCGGATGTATGTTGGATATGCCGGCGCCACAAACTGTACGTGAGGTGTTGAACTCCAAGTTCTGCGGCTTCATTTCGGCAAAACTTAACAGTATGGAAGACACGGAGGCGGATAATTTGATGAACAAAATACTCATGCTGCTGGTACAGACGCAGACACAGACACATAATAGTGAGGGAAAATAGTTCCTTGAAGGAGATTAAATTGTTGGTCAGCAGAAAAAATGTGATACAATGTATGTATGTAGTTTAGGTGGAGGAAAGGAAAGTGATTGAAAATTGTACTTACTTTTCTTCATTTTTGCTGGGTGGACATATGTAGCTGATAAGCAATTAGTCTTGAAGGAGAATAATTTTAAAGTAGAGCGATGGCATACATACATTTGTACATTTATAAGTGTACAAATTGTTATGCGCGCACGATATTTAATTCTAGCAATAAAGAATTTTTTTGTGTTATATTTTTCGGTGGCGGATAGGAATTATTTGATATATCGATGCCTAACCGCCAAAATAACGTAAGTGAAATTTTTTTCAAAATTTTGCTTTTGATGCAGAAATGCATCTAGATAAGAGGTGGCCTGCCTCTGCAGAGCATTTTTGTAGTGTGCGTGCAATTGATGTGACTGTGTGCGTGCGAACAAGTCGTGCAGTTGAATGAAACTTTCGCTGCTACTCAAGCTGAGCGTGTATGTATACGCGGGCGGACGCTGCCCAGGGCTGATCTAGATGCTCTAGGAATATTTCTCAATAAAAACAAAATTAAAAAAAAAAATTCGCTTACGTTATTTTGGCGGTTAGGGCTCGATATGTATGTATGTATTTATAAAAGACGTATTTATCATAACTTTATTTTAGATTTCGATCACAAATAATTTTTTCTTGCTCTCATTAAATGCTCAATTTGAAGAAATTATAAGACATGAAATTATCTTTACAGATGTACACAAAACTCGTATTAAAAGATTGTGTTATGCCAATAGCAAGTCTGAAGTGCACATATGGTCATACATATGTTACATATGTATGTGTGTAGACGTTTTTCTTATTAAATCGTTTGCATGAAAAACTGGCAAACTCAATAATTATTAGCAAATATGCTTGAAATAAACTAAAATTAAATTATATATATGTTTATATTATATGCGGGAATGAAAAGTTTAAAATGTTAAGCTCTCACCCCCTAAAAAATGGTAAAATAAACGATTGGGTATTATTATTGGAAGTCCTGAAGAGAAACAGAGTTTTCCGATCGAAAAATATCGATTTTCATGAATTCTATATCATTACTAGGAAAAAGTGTATAAAATACATGGAAAACTTCCTGGTATTTGAGGCAGTTCTAAATTTTTTTTTTACCAAAAATGCGGGAATTTTTACCTCTCATTTAGAAAAATCCTTGAGGGTGAGAGCTTAACATTTGAAACATTTTTGGACCACCGTAGTGTATATATATACATACGCAGATTGCTCTTAGAAAATACTTATTTAAGCAGCGTTTACAATGTCCACTTGGGGGTAAGAATGCATTTTGAAATGCCTTTTGCTTACAATTAGTCTGTTCGAATATATCTTCAGCGAAAAATATCTATCAGAAGCTTGCAGAATTTTTAAATGACCGTAAAAGTACGCGAACGCAAAATTAGCAAAAAATTTAGAGTTTAATAGTTAATTTCCTGCAAGCCTTAACTGCAGTCTAAGCCTATTGGGAAAAGAAGACTACGATTCGAAGTGAATAATTGCTCATAATAAGTACAAGCGGCATGAAGGCAAAATAGCAAAAGTAAAATTCTTGGAACTTATCTTAGCTATTAACTGCAGTTAAGCTTTTGGTAGAAATGGACTTAAAGTATAGCTGATCGCAATTTTATCTACATGCAAACATTTGGAGTTTATCGCCCCTATTGCGAGTGTCGACTGGCAGTAGAATAGAAATTTGTCGATCGAGTCGATCATCTTTTATTTTGCTATTGTGTAACTTGATCGATAAAAATTTGTACTATTGTGAATGGTTGACGGAATTGTAAACAGCTGTTTGTTTGTTTACATTTGTTTCATTTACATCATTTTTAAAATAATTGCTTTTATTATAAAATTTAAAAAATGGACACAGTTGAAATACGGTTTAGTGATGAGGAGGATGATGTGGAAGCTAATAGATAAGTAGAGTTGGCTAAAGCAAGGAGGGAATTGCGAGATTCGTCGGATCCCTTGGAGTTGGAAGATGAAGTGTATGTACATATGTGAATTTTATGAATAGAAGTTGCGTTCCCGATGCTTCAAGGTTTTTAGGTTTTACAGGATTTGCAGGAAAAGCTGTTTTCCTCATTAATAAATTTTATGGAAGTTTAAGAAATACGGTACCGTACTTTAACATACAAGTGTAGTGAAAGAATTAAACTTTAATTTAACATAAAGATTTCAAGTTTCCGAGCACTAGTTAATTAATAAATTATGCAGTTTTTTGTAAACTTTGATGTTGGTTCTGCGCAAAAACACTGTGGATGGCGTAGCCGGAATTATATGCACAAGAAATATTGTATATCTTTCACAAAAGAAGCGGAGCTTCCTCCCCTGCTGTTTACGGAAATTCCTGTGCCTCACTCTCCTGCATCAGCTCGACCAACCGCGCAAGTTGCCTTTTGTTGCTTACAATTTTTGATCTGTAATTCAGACACATATGTACATACATATGTATATTTCACAATTTTTTACAACTTCCAATTCAATTGACTTACTTTTTATCCGTTATAGTACCACTTTCTTATGTAAATTTTATAAACGCAAACTCCAACGACTAAAAAACAGCAATAGAAGGATGAGCGATTAAAAAGTATTCACAGTCGCTAATTGAGCGACTAAGCGACACTCACAATACCATCGATAATCGATAATCGCTTAATAGTCGTTTATCTACTGCCAGTCGACACTCGCAATAGGGGTGTATGTTATTTGAAACTTAAAAATCAGCAGAACAAATTTTCAATATTTTCATAAACTGCAGAAAAATTCTCAGCAGGAATTTGCAACTTCCTCTCCAAATCAGGTGTTACATTGCTCTCTCCATTTCCTCTTCTCTACTAATCCTTATAATTTGTGTTAATTACGAGGTTGTCGACCAGACTAGATATCAGCTGGAGTCAAGTTGTAAGTTCTAAAGTTTCACTCGCGGCTGATACATATTCGATAGTCCTGCGCAATAACGACACAATTAAAAACTTGAAAAAACCGCTTACTACTGAACATGCCTCTAACCCTCGTATACTTCTTTCTAAATCTTTATAAAGCAGTGAGGGGTTTTTTGAGTTTTGAATTGTGTCGTTATTGCAGAGGACCATCGACATGTGAACAGAAGAAAATTAAAAAAAATACACTCTCAACTCTAAGTTTTACATTGTAAACTATCTTTAAAGGTTTATGTGTAGTATATACAATTTTGTCTTTCGGTTTTTTTTGACGCAGAAAAGTTTTCTATTGATTATTTATTTCTTTTCCAGTTTAGTTTGTAATTAAGGTATATTACTTATGTTAAGGCAATATTTGTTTCTTTGATATAAAATGTTTCATTTCATTTATGGAGCTTTCTTCCAAAACATTCAAATGGCAAACCGTGTTATAGTTAGTGGTAAGTGTGAATTGGAAAACCTATAGAATTTTTTTGTATACTTAGTTCTGTTATAACTTTGATATTGGTTTGCCTAGGAAGTTGGACTTGCCACAAAAAATTTAAAATATTTTTTGAAAGCATCACATAATCATCAATAAATATTTTCTTATAAACAGGCTAAAGCTAGTATGTAGAGCGTAAAACTGAATTAAAATTTGAGGCACTACCATTAAAAATGGAACTTCATAAACAAGTGAATTAAACAAAGTATGTAATTTTAAATGTTATTAATGAATTCCCCAAAGTTACTATGTGCATTTGCACAGCTGAAGAATAATTTTCTCCATATCCTTTCTCATCTCAAATTTATATAAATTTAAGACTATAATATATATATTTATAACTTTATGGTTGTATTGTTCTTGCCATGTTCTATACTGAATTATTTAAGAAAATTTGTATCTGTACTTTAAGAAGTATAATACGAGTACTAAGCAGCGCTTGCCCCAAAGAGAGACTTCAAAAAACGTGAATAGTAATTTGATATTGCAAATCAATGTAAAGTTATTGAGGTTTTCAATGTTCAAAACGCCAAATATGTGTCATACCAAAAAAAATAATTAAATAATAAATAAATAAATTAAATAAACACGCATTGAACTTAATTTTTTACATTGTCAAATACTACTTTTTTTCAAATAAACTTTTTATAATATTGGAGAACTAAACATATGCCTAAAATTTGTGAATTTGAAAACAATTTTAAGTAAAATATGCTAACTTCTTTTAGAAAACCTTTTTTCAATAATACTCACTTAAATTTTAGGGCCAATCTCAGATAATCTCGTTAAATACAGATCGATGCTTTTTAATATATTAATTTTCATATGAAAAGTTTAAATGGATTTTACATGCCCATTGCTGGATATTCAAATAGTGAATATGCAACGCTGTCCGTAAAAATAAATTCGTAATTAATTTAATTACCACTTAAATTTTGATCCCGAATTGGCCCTAAGGATTGTGCTTGCATACAAAAGAATTTAAAATATAAACCAATTGAATTTGTTTGAAAAGTTGTAACTAATACATACATATGTACATATGTATGTATATTTTTTTTGCCAAATTTATTGCCATGGAATTTATTACAAAGGCCATATCAGTAGAAATTAAAGATATTTTTAACTATTATATTTACTATACAAACTAATGTTAGTCCGTGGCTTGTTATCATCATATATTGCTTAAATTTTTTATGTTAAGTTAGTATCTATGTGTGTATCTATCGTATATGTAATCTCAGTTAAGAATTCATAACCTAATTTTTCCCCTACAAGTTTATGAAACTATACATATGTGCATATATAATTTATGTTCATAATTTTTATTTTATAATTTAAATAAAAAATCGTTTCAATGAACAATGTGGGTTGTAAATACAAGAAGAATGAATTTAGAAAAAATGAAAGAACTTGAATACCAGGGACTCCCGCTCCCGCAATATACATATCGCATGTGGATGTTGCGACGTTTCTCTCCCAGACAACTAGAACGATTAATCCGCCTTTAATAATATCCAGAATTAAGTATTGCAATCAAAGTTTGATCAATTCATACAGTTGGCATACCAAAACACAAATAGAAATACAGATATCTTCGCCATTTTTGGGAAGTTTACCCCCCCTATTATGGGTTCGTACGATGCACGATAAACGCTTGCATTTTGTTATCGTCTATAACGAATCGATATCGTATAAAATCGAATAGGTAGCGTAGCTGATTTGCGCTGGTTCCAAATAAAAATAGGTTTGTATAGTGACAAATAGTCAGTACTAATTTGTACTGGAACCTGCAAATTTTTAGTGGAAAAGTGTACAATAACCTAAAAAATGTGCAAGAGAGCCTTGAATCGAGAGCGTAACAACACGGGAGAGCTGCAGAGCTGCTAGTGAAATTTTACTAGCAGAAATTACCTAGCAGAAGAAGAAGAAGAATGAATGTCAAAAGCTGCCATTTGTTGAATAGGTTAAGCATAAATAAAAGTAAAGTGGAAATCAAAATATTAATGATGTACTGGACTGTTTAAGTGCTAGTGTGTAAAGCAAAGAGTTTAAAACTGATTTATAAATAGTAACATGTTTACAGCAGAATGTCAAAACAGTGCAACAATTGTTCGCTTGCAAGTTTTTACTAGTTTTGTGTTCAGTAACTTTTTCTGCTAGTTTTCTCTTCTTCTCAATTTTACGCTCTATTTTTTTACGCTCTGGCTGCAATCTGACTGGATAAGTTACTATACAAACCTAATACATTTGTCGGGCGTATGAAAACGATAATACGAGAACTGATTTCATACGATACGCTTGCAAGCGTTTATCGTCTATCTATATTATATTTGACTCAACAGTTATTTGCAAAATTAACATTTTTATCGGAACTAAAAAATAACGACTGGGAACCTACACATAGGGTCGGGAGGTAATTAAAATGCTCCGAATGTATTTCTGACATGAGAAAGCTTCTCACAAAAATTCACCCACTGCTCGTATTCGGCATAAATTTCGAATATC